AAATATTAATATTACTAAAATTAAAAAATTTAAGAATAATTAGAAATTATATATAGATGTATAAAATTACAAAAATTCGCAGAAATTAAAATTTATACATATATATAAATGTATAAAATATAAAATTACAAATATTTACAAAAAATTTGCAAAATATTTAGAATTTTGTATATAAACATATAAAATTACAAAAATTTGCAAAAATTTGCGAAGTATTTTCAATATTATATCTAAACATATATAATTTTAAAAAATTGCAAAAAATTTATATAAATATAATAATTTGCAAAAATTTAGAATTTTATGAAAATGTATAAAATTACAAAAGTTTGCAAAAATTTGCATAGTTAAATTTAAATAGACGTATAGATTGAATAATTACAAAAATTTGCAAAGTATTTCAATTTTAAATATAAATATATAATTCCAAACAATTGCAAAGATTTTTAAAAATTTATAAATGTAATAATTCGCAAAATTTGGAATTTTATAATAATTTATAAAATTTCAAAAGATTGCAAAAATTTTTGAAGTTAAATTCATATAACGTATAAATTAAACTTTTAAAATTTGCGAAAATTTTTGAAATTTTTCAAAAATTATATAAAATTAATAAAATTTACTTGAATTTCCAAAAATAATTTTGTACTGATTCAATATATACTGATTATTCTTAAAATAATTTTGTATATTTTGATGTATTCTAAATTCTAAATCATTTTTAGAAAACTTCAAATTAGCTAGATACTTTCTGCTAATTAAACAAAAATGACATAAGCATGTGAAATTTGTTAACTTGTAAGTCAAACAAAATGTTGTAGCTTCGAGCCAATCTGTAATAATAGTCAAAATACTAAATTATGATAGAAATCAATAATGTTCTATCATAATAGATATTTCTATAATAATTCACGAATATATTATAAGTACAATACAAGTCAGCCCAAAAATATAGAACAATACAATCAAATAAATTTATTTAAACTTACTGCAGGTTTTAACTACATATAGAATACTCTAGCATATTTTGTAAATTTTTAAATGAATATACTTCTAAGTATAATAAAAAAAAATACACTAAAATTAATTAGATTTAGAATTTTTACAAAAATTTTTATAATTATTCAAAATTAAATTTATTATTCATAGTTAAAATTACTTTAACTTAAAAATTTTTAAAATTTTTTTAACATTAAAAATATTCATAACTTTATAATAATTTAAAAATATCTAGCTATATGGGGCCTTTGTAATAAAAAGAGCCCAAACTCCCCAAAAATTAAAAATAAGTTTTTTTAAGATTCTAATAAATTTTGAATCAGGCGACATTTTTCAATTATAAATGGAAATTGGTTTACATAAAAAAAATTAAGATATTTAAAAAAAATCTTTTTAGAAGACTTATAAATCACAAGATTACCAATATAACTAACCAATTATATCACAAAATTTTTGATAAACCCAGATTAGTCTAAAAAAGATAAACATGATTATCTCAAATTTATATATTTTCGAGTTTTGGCCCTTTCTACTACAAAGCCCCATATGTGCCCTATTTGTACCCATTTATTTTATTCAAGAATTAGATATAGTCAACATATAAATAAATACGTTAAAATAGCTAATGATAAAGAGGATAGTCAGATACCAAATTCTTATAGTGAAAGCCATAATTTTACAAAAGAATTTAAAAAAATTCAAAATAATAGACCTAGTAACAATAATTTGGTTAATTTATTTTCTAGCTCTAAAAATAAGTCATTTAGTTCTAAAAAAATTTCTATCAGCAATATCAAGTTTGGAATTCAATCTTATAAAACTGCAAATGATATTTGCCCAATCACTTTCAATCAGGAAAACCTTTGCAATATTTTGAAAAACTTGGAAGCAGATAATAATATGTCTTTTGAATTAGAAGATAAGAATAATATGAGCTTTGAAGTTGTAAATGATGAAGAATTTATCAAAATTCTTCAAGATAATTTGCAGAATTACAAAGATATCACTGAAGATTTAAAGATCTCAATAAATCTTAACAAATTTTTTAGCTCAAAAGAAGAAAATTCTAATAAATTTGAAGATTTTCCTAATAAAGTATATGCAGATTTAATGGGTTTGGTTACTAAGTTTAAACTAAGTAATGCAGTAGAAAATACTATTATCAAATTTTTTAATAAGTATTCAAAACTTTCTAAATTGCCTTTATCTAGTAATATTTCATAAAGCAAAACATATATGAACAATATAAAATCAGATTTGTTTTATAAAAAGACTTGTGTATTAAAATTTAATAATATTAAATATTTTCTTCACTATATTCTAATTCTTAAATATATTAAAAATATTTTGAAAATTCCTGATATTGTACAAAATTTTGCAACGGATTTTGAAGAACTTAGTAAAATTTCTGAGATATGTTTATATTTTATATTATTTTAATTTTTAAATTTATTATTAATTTTATCTTTTATAGAATAGCAAAGAAATTATTTATAGAGACAAAATAATGAAATATGGTGGAAATCTATACAAAATTCTTTGCCTATTGGCTCTAAAATTTTATCTATTATACCACAAGGATAAATGCCCCTGTGGCTAAAGTCTTAGGGTCCTTACACGGCATTGCTAATCTCAATTGTGAGTGTTAGGGTAAGCGTGTTACA